CAGAAAATACAGAATAACAAAGCTACATGAACAGGTGGCTGCTGATATCAGAAATCTTGATAATAAAACACAAACTGGATTGGAATGTATGAAAATGCAAATTGCCTCCAAATAATGTCGAAAATATGTACATGATGTAACAAAGAATCATAAAAGTTAACATTTTTAATCAACTGGAGAATGAGTTATATATTGACGATAGATATAGAAAAGTATGGAGCATATCTGATAAGGATTTCAAGGAATGTTGGGAAAAGAAAATGTATTTATTTGAAGTTATGGGAGTTAGATGGGGTGGGGGTAGGGGGATCGCAAGAGGGTGGCCACCTGAGTAAAACCCCATAAAAAATTCTCGGAGGTCTCACCCCCATAAAAAGCTATGGGGGTTGAAAGTTAATTATTTGGTCAATTTTCATACACTATAATTAAAATAAAATTCAATAAAAAAAATACTTTCAAGCGGGTGGANACCCAACCTAACCTAACCTAACCTATTGATAAAGATATTTAAATAATGTTTTGTATAACTTTCTCAATATTTTTTATTAGTTTTACCTTTGAATATTGTTTAAGAATGACTATATAAATATTTACATGCCTAGAAATGTATAAAAATTGGCATATTTATTAACTTTGAGCCCCTATAACCTTTTATGGGGTATAAACAACGAAATCCTGTAGACATACATATAAATCAAAAAAAACTTATTTGCAAAAAACACGTCAGAAGTTTCTTGGCATAATACATATACCACTATATATACGTATGGTAGTATCAGTATGTAAACAACTCATTAATTAAAAAAAAAACGTCTGGAGCCATTTTCATTTTAGTAATGGTCGTGTTTACTCATCAGAAGAGAAAAACGAAGCACCTAACAGACTGATCATTTATTACAAAACTTAATAATTAATGTATACATTTTACTGATTAGTACAGCCAGACAAAGCTGCTTTGTCTTTGACGTTAATAATTAGGGTTGTTTGCGCTTGATCGAGACAAATTACGGGCGCTTTTGTTTAATGTGTTTTTTGATTAATATGCGCAGATATTCTTTACTGGCGTCGTTACCACTAGTGGAGATCATAAACTGAATATAGTTAGTTCATCAGGCGGTCATATTACAATATTGCATAATTGTACAATAATATAAGTTTATAGCAAGATTTAATTATCTGGTAGATATCTATTTATAACACTTTATTTTTTTTCGAATTTGAATTACAATAACAATAATTTAAATATACTTATTTATCTACATATAAAAAACGACTTATTCAATATTTTGCATGTATGCACAAACTTTAACTAAAAAATTAAAAAACTCAAACACAACCACACTTGAAATGTAGCCAATACCTACAATGAAAAAGACATAATCTCAAGTAGCTTTTCTATCATCCTTCAATTTTCCACCTGTACAAATTTTCATATTTAAATGGACAAAAAAATCCCATATAAGTAGTAAATTTCAGTTTTCGATTTTTAAGACAAATCGCCAGTTAAATGGTTCAAATTTTATCCAAGCTTATGGTTACGATTTTTGGTTTTGTTTTTTAGGTTCACAAAATCTTAATGTACCTTAAAATACGATAACGGTTGTAACAATAAAAATTCCAAAATTTGTAACACTTAAGACTACTTTTCATTATATTTATACACCCATTTAAATTGTTGCACTAGGTGTTAGCCACCATGCATAACTACTATTATTTCTGGTACAAGTATGTTAATTGTTTCGTTGATGATGCAATTCTATACACATCCTGATGTAATTGGAGACACAATTTTTTACGTGTATCTAAATAAACATTTCCTTTAACACTTATATCAACGACTAAAAAAGAGCATACAGCATCGAGTGGGTGCTAACGGTAAAGTACATGATGTCAGATTGCAAATTTTTTGAATTTATCTTGGGAATCGTGGACAAAACTGGAAAATACAACAAACAGAAGTTGGTGGTTTTTTTAATACGAAAAGTGCTGTGTAAATATTTGTCTTACCAAAGAGATAAACAGTAACCCAGTTAAATAAGTACTCACTAACTTATGCAAATATCGTATATTTCGAAGATAAAACGAACATCTGCTTCGTAATATTTATTTAATAACAAAATTTTGTTGAATTAATAGTATAACTACCACCCACTTTACTAACAAAGAATTAATTCTAAAGAATCCAAGTCTTTTCAGTAATTTTCATAATTAAAAACCAACCGAAGTAAGTTTATCTCATCATTATTCAATCTTCAATTTCTCATACTTTAACTTTAAAATTACTTAATGGAAATACAGTCAAAATCTGTTATAACGACACCGAAGGGACTACTCATGTTTGGTCGTAAAAACCGATAGTCGTAATAGCCGGTGACGTTATTATTAAGTACTTAATACTTATTATTGAATGTGTGATTAATATATTCATATGTAAAGTAAAACTTTTATTTATTTTACATAAAACGTATTATAAAAAGACATTACGTACGTCTAAGTATCATTTTTCTATATTAATAAAACCTAGAATTTTAGTCTGTTTGGAACACTTCTGTCGTGCGTACAGACTTTGTAGTTCGCGTTTAATTTTAATTAATGTATCATCATAATTTCCCTGCATACGAAACTGTTCATTAGAATAAAAAACAATTTTTCTTAATACACTGACAGCATTGAGACCATCATTCAAAGTTGGCACTGTAAATTGTTCTTCAGTCTCTTCCTGTTCGTCATTTTCCTTATGAACTTCTTGTACAATATCATCTCCCGTAGCTGGTGCACAAATTGCAATAGAGTTATCTGCATCAATAAACTCCTTAGCTTCAGGAGCAGATATTCTGAGAATTTCAATAGACCCTAAACTAATGGTCATTTAATGTACCAGATGTGGATAGTGTTACCTATTCAAATGTCGTTCTAACAGATATAATTCTCCGAAAATATCAGTTAAATGTAGTCGCTTAAAAAGGTATGTCGTAATAAGCAATCTCGTAAACACCAGTGTTTTTTATAAGGCGGTCTAACAGAATTAAGCCGGGACCTATGATTTTGATCAATATAGCCGGTATGTTGTTCTAAACGATGTCGTAGTAAACGATTTTGACTGTAGAATATAGGGGTGATTTTATAGTTTACGTAGATATCTTTGGAGTTTTTCAACTTTATCAAATAGTAACCTCCCTTATTAACCGTCTTCACAGTTCATAAGTTGATATCGTTTTCATTACCAGTACATTATTCAGAACACATTAAGAAGCAATCAAAAATCAAAAGCTCGCACCAAACTAGGCACATGTTTACCAAGTCAGACCATATTAATTTTCATAATAATGCTGAACACATTTATTTATGTTGCGTGAAAAAAATTAACGTCGTTCTTTGCATGAGAGTGTTTTGTTGAGTCCTCTCAGTTGCGTGAGCTTTGGTTGCATCGACTCAACACTTAATAGCTTCACTTCTCTTTATAAACCGAAAGGTGGCATTTTTATTAGAGAGCATTTTCTTAAAGTAAATGAAAAAGTTGCTCAAACAAGAGTTGTTCAATGTCTCATTAATGAATGTAAAAGTTATGCGTAAAGGGTTACAATTTACATATATAGTTGCACTTACACCTATCGCTGTTAAATATGTTGTTCGTTTAATCAGTTACAAACGTATGAATTTAACAAACTCTCACTTGAGACTAGAAATTAACTACAAATAGTGACATTTAGTTAATGGATAGTTGTGTACCATCTATGCATTCAGTAAATTCCTTTTTCGGACACAAGTACTTCACCATTATACGCAAAGTATTCACGTACTTACACAAAGTACTAATTAAATTTGCATATGAAGGAAATTATACATACACGCCTATGCATGTAAAGTACATATTTGAGGAATTAAAAATATTTTGCGTAATAGTTAAGCACTAGGTACTACAGAAAACGTTATTATTTTTCTCAAATAGTTGACGTTGAAACTGTTGAAAGTCATTGTAGGTAATCAGTCTGTTCATAATTATCAAGGTTAAAGGAAGCATTAAATCTTTAATAAAGATAAGAATGGAACAATCAGATTACACAGCAAACAAAAAGCAATGGTCCATTGAGTCATTTGGGGAAATTGAGAAACAGTTTCAAAAAGTTTAATAAACTTTTTATAGCCGCATATTAGATGGTTCAATGTAGCCTAAAAATTTATTCACGCAAAGATCGATTGGGTCCCAAAAAAGGATACAAATTGTATAAAAAATACTAGGTACCTACCTATACATTATATAAAATACTCGTTTATTGGCTCTGTACGTCTGTATCTCAATTATTATTGTTTAGAAATTAGGTAATTTTTAAATGTGATGTTTAAAAATTATCGACTTAGTTTGCTCAATAAATTGTAACAAATAACAATACACCTCAAAAGACTCAATGAATTTCATCAACAGTTTTAGGTATTTACGACAAAATTGAATTTCATTTTTATAATGATAAAAGTCCAATATTTGTTATTTATTTTTTAGTTGCAGAATGTCATTTTAGTATAATAATCATGAGTAAATGAAAATATCAGTTTTTAAAAGTTCTAATATCTTTTGAAAAACCAAACTAAAGATATTATTTTTTTTCTGAATTTATACAATTAATAATGAAAATGTAGAAATATCTTATATGGAATAGTCAGTAAATTGTTTCTTCATGAAATTAAAATAATGAAATAAAAATGGTATAGGTATGCATATTGTTGTAAACAATCTGTAAATTTACAATAATGATGAGTATTCAAATAAACGCTCAAGTCCCAAAACGAATTCTGTCCTTTTTACGATATTTCTGTCTGTATTAACAGGTGTCAGAGGTTCTTTTCATTGTTTTAAGAAGACAGTACGTTTTTGTCATGATTTTTAAGATATACACTTCCATAATACATAATATCAAAGTGATTTAGGTATAATTGCATTATTTGTTTACGTAAATCCCACGAAAGGAGGATATACAGTACCAAATTAGTAATTAATTACTCACATTGAGAAGAAGTTGAATTGGCAAACTAATCGTCGGTGGCTTCTTTTTCTCGCCCTGACAAAAGCACGATCTGATCCACGGCATTTTTGTTAAATATTTGTCAAGTCCCGCACCCACCTAACAATAAGCTACAGACATAGGCATTTCCATCCCGATTCATTTAATTTTCAAAAAGCTTTCGCGACTGTCAATGGTTTCGTAAAGCTAACTATTAACCATTACACTCATGTTTTCGCCGCACTTCAACGGTCGAGTCATTATGTCAGTGATATCCTTTTACCGCTTGTCACAGGTAACGTTGGTGTTTCTTTCATTAACTGGAAAAACTGCGACGTTTTCAGAGCGGATTCTCCCTTTTCCGGTCATTTTTCGTGAAGCTGTTTAAGGAAAACTCGGTCAAGGGTGAGCGGTGGTAAAAGGAAGCGAGTGTCAATAAAGCGAACGAACGGCGGCGGCTTTGTAGGATCTTGTCTACGATTGTGTGATATTGCGGCGTAAACGTATCAAATGCGTTGAGGTCCACAGGCTGCGGCAAGCCGACGAACCATTCGAGTTCGAAGTGAAGCGATCGGAATCCCGGACGCAACTGCTGGCGCGACGACGACGCGACGCGACTCCGACCACCATCGGAAATCTAACTTGCAGCAGCTTCTGGATCCAGGCAGGACAAAACAGCGACTTGGTGAAAAGCCGGTGAAAAACATTACAATTCAACGCACTTTTCCTAGCCCGCGAGAGTTTCTAGCGAGCGAACGGAGTTAAAAGCTTTTGGCAATCCCCGCTAACAATTAATTTTTAGTTCACATTCACGTTAATGTGATCAGCTAAATCCACTTTAATGAATCTGAAGTTACGCTTTGAAAGAAGTAAACAGGATTGTTTAATAAAATTTCCGAGAAAGAGACAAAATAAAATTGTTTCCATTAACAACATTGAATTGGTATGATATCGTATCAACAAGTCACACTTTTTTCGATTGGAACGAACATTAATTTTCAACTTAAGTCATATTGTTGGGGCGCAATTCATGATGCGCCTTTTGAACAACGAAAAACATTTGTGTATTTCGCAGTGTTAAGTTTATAATAACGTGCCTGCAACAAAGGAATGTTATCGTTATTGTATTTAGGTTTTTCCTCGGCAGGTAACGTCCCTTCGCGTTAGTCACCAGATGGGTCGATGGTCTTTCCATCCACAACAATATTCTGATTTTAGTCACGTAGTCACTAACCGTAGCCTAAGGTCAAAAACACCCCACTAACGTACCTCCACCCCCTATATTTTCTTGTCATATTTAAGCATTTTATCTATCTAAAAGTTCATTAAGTTTTCATGTTTTCAACCATTTAGTTTTCTCTGCCAAGTTCAATCAATTATCTATTCAGTTCATCAGTAGTTCATTCATTGTAGTTATTTTTAAGTGTTTTTTTTTGGTGTTAGTTTAAGTGTATGTTGATTATTAAAAAGTTAAAAATCACATAAGTCGTTTACTGCTCGTACTGCTCCAAGAAGAATACCACCGATAGAAAATATTCGGCCGTTATATCTAAAAAATAGACTTCGATAAATTAATTTTTATCGAAGAGGGTTTAAGTGTTCCTTAGGAAAATCTAGGCCAGCAACACACCCGCAACATTCAACACATATTATTGAACAATTTACAATTAAAGGAGGGGATTATTAAACGATGCTGTAATTTTTTATATAACAAAATGAACAATAATATCTAACGCTTACAGTTTAGATAATTCAGGCATCTTAAATTCCTGATGAGTGAGTTAGATTGGGGACAATAGACAACACCATTTTCCACATCGTATCAAAAAAAGATTAAGTTTGTCAAGCAACAGTTAATGACTTTTGGAAGTAAAACTTTCGTACTAAGTATCTGCTTTTTTAGTAAAATTAGTTCGTTTTTGAAAATGACCTACCCATGGAAGACTAAAAAAAAAATTATGTTGGATTATAGGTGCCAAGATTCGAATGGAATTGAATAGAATATTATTAGTATTCGATTCACAATTGAAAAATAACATCAAATTTTAGATGAACTAATATAGATACACCTAATTCGTAAAAAAAACGAACAATTTAAAAAGAAATGAATAACTCAATAATTTCAAATTCTAAAAAACGAATACCTGTTTAATTCAAATACGAATCGAATATTACAAGATAAAATATTGAAACTCTTTCAATGTAATCTAATTCCACCTTAACATAGCCTAGCCTAACCTAACCTAATTTAACAAAAAAAATGCAATATAATTTCTATTAAAATACCTTCGTGCAGATTTTCCTTGGAGATTTTTAGGCTATTTCTAAAAAAGACGTTAAAAGTCGTGATTCTACAAGCGTCAGGAGTCACGTCTTTTTAATATTTTCTTACAAAAAAAGATATTGTTATGAACTTAATGATGTACATCAATCCCTTCATTCCATCGTCAGTGGTAATCAAATTTGAATATTTCATTTTACAACGAATAATTAACTGGTTCTACTCGTCTAAGACTCTACGATAAGTCATCTCGCTGTCAGCGTATTTGTACGGCGTATTTTTTATGACGTCTTATCGGTCAAACCTAATTAAAAAGATTGTTTCTTCGATTGAGACAACTTTGTAAGTATACATTACAAACATGTGATTCTATAAAATAGAAGTAGAGAAGATTTTACAGGTATTTTATGATAATTATTAAATAAAAAAATGTTATGATAACAAAATTAAGGTATCTCAAACCATAAAGTGAAATTTCTATTTGTTTACAACGCCTTTCAAAAATTAATTTTTGTTACCGAAGCGCGCGGTCATAACACAAACTCAGTGATCAGCAAAATTGGTTTTGGTGTTACGAAAATGGAAGATCAAGACTGTCTTTATACTAGCAAGACCAAACAAACAAGACCAAGGCTAAAACCAAGACCGAACGAACAGGACCAAGACTAAAACCAAGATCAAGTATAAAAAAGGAGAAAATTTACCACTGTTTGAAAAAAGGGATCTAGAAGAATGTCTTCGGAGTAAATTTTCTTTGTTCCTTTATCTGAATAACACATGGTTGAAATATATAGACAGACTAATTTTTTCCGATATTTTTTACTTCTTTTAAGCACTTTGTAAGTACTATTTTTTTCGATAAAAAGTCAATTTATGTGTTAGAGGAAGGGCCAATTCATGTATTGGAAGAAGAGTTTTCATAACTCTCACAACTATTGACATGATTTTGTTTGAAAGTTGTGACAAGCCTGCATGTATAACAGAAAATATCAGCATTGACTGCGACAGTATTTGTCTTGGATTTGCTTTGGACATCACCAGGCAAACTTTAGTTTAGTTTTTAAATTACTAGTGGAAAACTATGATTAGCTAACTGCAGTGAACACTTTGTAACATTGCTTTCCAATGTGCTTGGTGTATAGTTTAGAGGTTTAGACTTTTAACATAATCTGTCGATGAAGATTGACGAACTTCCAAAATCAAATAAATCTAACGAATTCTCCATTTATTGTTAATACGTACTAGCTGCATATAAACAAACTAAGATATCTCTTAGAATTTCTTAAGTGTAAAACCTTTCGATTCTATTGTACATTACAGCGACTTTGGAACGTGCATGAGGTGCCTATAATAAAGTATAGTAAAGTTCGAATAAGATAATTCGAAGTGGCCTGTATTCTGTCGAAAGTGCCAGACGCGGATCGCGATTTCGATCTTTTTGGATCTCATCAGCGCGGCACAGGCAGCTCCGACAGAACACAGACCAACTTTTACCTGCTGTCTTAACAGCGCGTTTTAGAAAATACTACAAATGACGCGGTAAACGTCATCTGTAGTACGATGCCACATTTTAGGATTACGTATTCTCCAACAAGGTTCATTTAAATATATGGATATCTACTTGCCGAAACGAATCCCGGTGTAACTAACCTCAACATGATAGGCACGTTATGCTGTTAAGATAACAGGTAAAAGTTGGTCTGTGTTCTGTCGGAGCTGCCTGCGACGCGCTGATGAGATTCAAAAAGATCGAAATCGCGATCGGCGTCTGGCAGTTTTGACAGAATACAGACCACTTCGAATTATTTTATTCGATTATGGTAACGTGCCTATCACGTTGAGGTTAGCTACGCAGGGATTCGTTTCAGCAAGTAGATATCCATATATTTAAATGGACCTTGTTGGAGCATACGTAATCTTAAAATGTAGCATCGTACTACAGATGGCGTTTACCGCGCCATTTGTGGTATTTTCTATAGTAAAGTTATTACGAATTTATATTTATTAGTAGGTATTGTTAAAACTATATAGAATCTAACGAAGCTGTAACAATGTTCTTACGCAAGCCTTCAATGATAGATACTTTGCAACTTTGTCATAAAGAATAAAAAACACATATTGGCCATAAAAGGTATAAAAGAAATTCATTGTGATATTTAAAACTACCTATGTATCCATCAATGTGAAATTAATGCCACTATTTATCTAAACTGAAAACAAGGCGAACCGAAATTTCAATTAAATTATATAATTACTCATAAAACTTACACTAATGTTAGCCTTTTTGTTTTTATTGAAACTAATAAATAATAAAAGTGTGTAGAAATATAGTACAGTGCAATATCAATTGATTCGTGATACATTACTAGAGAAACATCATATCAGATTCTATTTCTAAGTGTTCCAGTTTATTTTTCGTTATAAACTCTCTTCTGCTTACATCCAACGAATAGACAGTGGCTTTTAGTTTTGAAGAACGTAATAAGCAATTATGACCGCAACCACCTCTGAGTTTGCTGAGCGTATCTTTCGATGATTCAAATTTGGCTCTAGCAAATCGCAACTTTTTAATAGGCGGACCCCAACTTTTCGTTGTTTTAAAACAAGTGTGAAGTTTACCCTGACAGTAATACTTCAGCAGTATTAACAGTGCTATACCAACAGTCGGAAGTAAAAGTAATCCAGCTATGATGTAAAAGTAATGCAACTCCAAATGACTGACGTACGGTTCTTTACCTTTTGCATAATAGATCACCAGAAACATCGAGGTAAATATAGATGTCAATTTTAATCCATGGCACCAAAAGCTCGACGCTCTCTCTTTGAAACAAAAATGAATGTCGTCTTGTAACTTCGAAAGCGAATATCCTTGAAGTACTAAACAAATTAAGAAGGCAATATTACACATGACAATCAGATGTCCGGTATGTTCCCATGCGAACGACCACGACATAAAGTTGCTTTGCAAAAATAAGATGTTCATGCTAAAGCATATCACACAAGTAATGACCGACACCTCGTTGTAAAGTTTCTTGAAAATCTTGAAATTTCTCGTAATGCTTATTACAATACAACTGAATGTAACTGACGAAGCCAATGTGGAAAATAACGTATTAGATATAAACCATATCAACAACCAAACGCGTTCACCGTCCCACCTGCTGATTAAATCGGGTATAATTGCATACATTACGGCGGACGGTTCAAAAGCCGCACATCTCAAATCTGTCAATTCGTAATTTTGTTCTAAAGAATTCAATCCAGTCATGAGTATTATAATGTCACAAAACAACATTATCGTCCTCAAAATATACGTTATCATTATATCCCTTTCTGGAATGAAGGAGGGGGGTGCCAATGTTCCGAGTACTAAATATGTTCCTCTAAATTCCTTTAGTACGGCTATTCCAACCAAATGAACGACATGATGGGAGGTAAAACAATTTTTAAGACCCATCGGAAACACGACCGGCTTACTCAGAAGAGAACTGTTGTTACGTAGTGCAAAATATATCGGAACGTTTGCCATGACGAAAAGAAGACCGAACATGAAAAACAGGAACTTCTGAATCACTTCAATCCGAAGCAGTAACAAAATCAATATAATAATATAAACTATTATTGCCGCATAAATCCACTCGTACACTATTCCCTGGTCTTTGAGAATGACGTATTTAAAATACAAAAAAGGGGAATAATAGAAATAATGGAGCGAACTGACGTTACTATGATGCTCATTATAACCAGCACAGGTACGATCAAATCCTTTAAAACTCATAGCGTAGCACGGTAAATCTCCTTCATAAAATTTACAGTCTTTCCAAGGTAGCTCCGTTTGGAATATGCGTGAAATATATGTAAAACCAACTGCTATGAAAGCTACGTCAAACATGCGACGCAAGGTGTCATTGAGGATTAACGTCCAGGCCACTCCCTTAGCAACTGGCATAATATACCCATAAGTGAAGTATCCTTTCCGCGAATAAAATCCCAGAAAAACTTGAATTAAGTATGTCGGTATGCCGAAAAATACAGAGAAAATGAAGTACAGAATAATGAAACATTCCGTTCCTGGGTTTAATTCGATATAAAGCGTCGTTGAATCGTTACAGCTAATCTCAATGAGAAGTAATATTGCCATAAATTCAGCCCATCTTAAATAATTAATTTTTTCTTCGGAACTTACGGCTTTGATATGAGAATCCAATTCATTCTCGCTAAAAACTTGCGACACTCGCCTTGAAAACTTTTTTATTTTCATTATTTATTATTTTAATTTGTTTAATGTTACGTCAAATGTAATAATATGTAAATGTCTAACAGCCCGCTACGTATATAACATTATTTTATTTTTTTAAAGACAGTACAACTGTAGGGATAGATATACAGGGCCAAAGATTAGTATGCTTAGATTTGCACACGATATAGCAGTATTAGCATCTAGCAAGGAAGAGTAAGAGATAACTGTAAATAAAGTGGATGTGGTACTGACAAAAGAGTACTGTATGAAAATTAAAAGTAAAACAAGAATACTGGCGTGCAAGGGAAGAAACAATAGGGAAAGAACGAATATAACGATAGGAGACGAAAAATTAGAAAAAATTGCCGATTTTAGATATCAAGGAAGTCTGACAAGTCAAGACTGAAGGAGTAGTAGGGATATAAAGCAGAGGATAGCGCAGGGTCGAGTCGCCTTCATTAAAAAGAAGTAACTTATATGCTCGCGAACGGTTAATTTAGAAATTCGAAAAAGATTGTTAGGTTTGAAGCGCGGCGCTATACGGGTGCGAAAAATGGACAGTGGGCGAGGCGGAAAATAAAAGGTTAGAAGCGTTCGAAATGTGGTGTTACAGGCGAATGATGAGGATACTGTGGATAGAGAATATTAGAAATGAAGAGGTATTAAAAAGAGTAGGAGAACAGAGGGCTCTATGGAAGTTATAAGAAATAGGCAAAATAGGTTGGTAGGACACCTTCTCTAGCATGAAGGTGTAGTCAGGGACATATTAGGGGCAAAAATAGGATTTAGGAGGGGTAGAGGTAGACCTAGATTAGATATCTGTTCGCAAATAGTTAAGGATGTGGGTTGTTCCAGTTTTAGGGAAATGCGAAGATTAGCTCAGAATAGAAAAGAGTGTAGATGTGTGTCCAACCAGTCTTGGGACTGACGACTTTCTGATGATGACGATGAATTTTAAATTTTGACAACTATATTACCCTACTAGGGCGAAAAAAATGGGTAATGAGATGTATTAGTTGGGAAAACCTCAAAATCTGCGATTATACGTGGATTTATTCCATAATCTCCTTGACCATTATTATGATTTCGGGATTACATTTGTTTTCTTAATTTATTATACATAGATTTAAATAAAAGAAAAAACAGTGATAATGACGTACCTACTAATAAAGTAAAATTCATT